GCCTCAAAGACTGTCACAAAAAAGTCATGTTTATTCAGATATATATATCCGCTGGGAAATTAAGGTATTTTCCTTTGCGTTTACTATGACTGTTGCTGATCATTGTAGTAGGAAATAGTCCCCTCTGGTATGGATATATAATCACACCAAAAAACATGTACCAAGTTTTAAGTAATTGGTTTGCATACATTTTCTTTCACGCAACTCACAAATCACCCTGCCTAACTTCACAGATTTATTTTAGAATCCAGTACTCTGTTTTTTAATATAAATGCTTCTTTTGTCTGAAAAATTAGGCTAACTGAAATTGACACTTTGTAATAAGGCTAACATATAAGAAATGTAAATAAGAAGCCTCTTAGTACATGTTCGCTGCAGAAGTTTTAAAGATGGAAATGGCTGAAGGAAGGAAATGATTAAGTACCAAGTACAGGTTGCTGAAATTATTCAGGTGGTTTTACACCTGTGCCCTCTGTAAGTATAGAAAAGTTCATAATTCAGTATTAGTATTGAGAAGACCACTGGACTGCTCTTATTTTCCAAGCTGCTAGTAAGAATTAAGTATGAGAAGCTAAGACCTGTGACCTCTAAAATCTTAGAGGCTATACAGTTACGTATGAAGTGAATTTCATCTTAACAGTTTAATCAGTTTTAAATGCAAAGCACACCCTAATCTTTCCTTATATATCCAGCAACTTTAGGAAAATGGTGTCATTTTACTAAATGGTTTCCCGGGTTTTAATGGCATTTGAATTTTACTAAAGTAAGTACCAAGTACAAACATTGCTCTAGTAGAATTTAACTGATCAACATGTGCATCTGTATTTTTATTGGACTGTCTTACTAAAAGTATTTGCACTTTACAGTCAACCCACACTACTTTCAATCCAAATTCCTACTGTATGTATCTGTAGCTTCAGGCGTCTTCACCAGTTAGCAAAAGTGAGAGCATAAAAGGAATAACTGTGTACCCTGAACCAGAAACCAGTTAATAAAGGGGACATAAGTGAAGTAAGTCATGAACATCGTGTTTGGATCTCTTATAACATTTAGAGTTTATTTGGAGCTAGCTTTCCTTTCAGTGGGAAGTTTCACTTCAGAAAGATGAAAATGACCCTGCAAATTCATCTTTCAGTGTGCTGAAGTCTTGCCTGGCAGTCATAAACAAATAGTCCATATTTATGTGACATTCTCTGAGATTGCAACATGCACAATTTCAAGAGAGAAATCCCGTGAGCGGTGTGTTATGCCCTGCTTTTGCTAGTGTCACTGGAATCACTGGGAAAGGTATACAGGGGAGTACGTGTTTGTCCTGGTTCTGCTGAGGGCATTTGCTACTGGCGAAAGATTTCTTAGCTAGAGTGATCTTTAGTCTGATTTGGCATAGCTGCTATTGCACTTTAACAGCCCTGCTGAAAGTCTCTGCTCCAAATTGGTGCAAAGACACCGCCAGACATTCCAAATGTATTTTCACCAAGTAACATGCAACTGGTGTTTTCATTAAGTTCTTTGAAACTCCCCTCTTTCCCCAAGTCACTTGTGACTGTCAGGATGTTTTCTGTATACACAGCTGCTAACTGTCCTCCATCTCTTCTCCAGCACTTACTAGTTAAAAGGAATAAAGAAGGTAAGGCAGATGCTGCCACAGGTATCTGTGCAGTAGAAAAAGAGAAAGCTGGGCAGGAGCCAGGGCCCACAGGAAGGCAGGTATCCTATTGCTGTATCATCCTTGTGATACCTAACTGGCTAAAGCACAAATGTGAACAGGAACTGTTCAGTGCAAGAGAACGTAGTTACTGTTCAATAACTCTCCGTATATTCACAGGAGAGAAGCTAAATGAGGACCTCATGAGAACAGGGCAAGTGGTCCAAGGATTTGGTTTGTTTATATGAAGGTGCAATCGTTATTTTGCATTCTTAAACATTTCTGTGATATGTCACTTTCGTATTTTTCACTGCAATAGAGAGATGTTGAAACTGCCCACCTGCATGGGAGGAATTCGAGCCTAAGGCCAGCCTTCACCAGTGGAGGTGAATCCAAAGACTGAAAAGTCAATTTCAACTCTTTCTCTGCACCTGGTAGATGGGCAATTCCAAGCACAAACTCAGCCCCATCCTGGAACGAGACAATGGTCTCATCATCTTTGATAATGTATAGCTGTTGCAAATATGGCTGCGGAAGCTTTGGAAGCAGTTTGTCCTTTTCCATCTCTGCTGGGAATGAGGTCTCTTAAAAACATTAGCTAGTTGACACACTTTTGAGATTTAAAACAGAGATCTTGGTATGTCCAGCAATACCCATTGCTTTGGCAGCTCAATGGTTTTCTTGAGACTAGAGAGGTAAAAACCAGAAAGAATACTCGCCTTATCCATCCTTTCTGTAGGAGTCAAAACCAAAATAAATTTAAATAAGAATACGAATTGTTCAAGGGGGAAAAAAGCCTGGAAAGAGCTATAACAGACCACTCAGCTCATCCCCTTGGCTAAAAGGAGGAGCGGCTACAATTAAAACACATGTTGTCTAACTAAAGCCCCTGTTGCGAATGGGTGATTTAGAATGCCTAAGGAATCACTGACAAAGGTATTAGTAAAAGTGGTTTTAATACAATCTTGTGAAAGTGCGACTTAACAAATTTTGATGGCAAGGTTCACTCTATTAATTACTGCATGGAAGAATCATACAAAGGAAAACTGAGTTACACTCGAGTTAGAATGATTCACAGAGAGAGTGGAAATGCAAAGAGTAAGGAAGACCCTCCCATTGAGTCACGAGGTTCAGAATAGACCCCCTTGCTTTCTAAACTCCTGATGGAGCTTAGGTGCAGCATGGTCCAATCTTAGTCTCAGATTTGGTCAACGGTTTATGTCTAAGGGATTGACCATGCAAAGTTTAGCTAATGTTTCACTAGCATCAATTCAGCAAGCAATCAAAGTTACCAAGACAAAATCAAAGTTGCCATGCTACAAGTTTATGTGGGATATTGGGCGCTTAGCAAAGATCTGCCGTTGGTAAAAGGTCTCTCTGCCTTGAGGAGCAACCTTGAGAGGTGTCCCAGCTCAAGGGGAGATCACCACTATGCAGCCACGCTGCCTAGCAAGGAGAGCTCAAAGAAAGCTCACTTAGGCTGTCATATTTATAGGATAAAGTGGTTGGCTTGTAGTCAAATTACATGCCATGGAAAAGGTATGCAGGAGACTCCTCATACCCACAACTTTCTTTGTTCCTTAATAAATGAGTTTTGGAAAAGCCACCTGCTATTCATGTGTTAATCGCATGGTTGGTGCCCCAAGCTCATGTGCATCAATGCTCACTGTGTTGCTCTGCTCCTTTGTGGGTTTTCAGAGTCCAGATTGAAACTAGAGGAGTTCCTGGCCCAGCTACGGCTCAGGCCTTCACCTTTTCCAGAACCCGCACCAAATCACTGCCAGTCTGGTCAAGGGGTCGAGCACATCCGTCACAGCCCCAAGTGATGAAGACTCCATGCCCGTGCTCTCCGCATTAGGCAGCCTAGTGTTGTAATATCTTTGCCAGTAGAAGGATTTTTTTAAATGCCTCACCTCCATTTTTCTTACTGAGGTTCAAACTGATGACATCTTGCCCCCTCTGTTATGGATGCGAATCGTAGAGGATTGCCTTACCCTGTGCAACAGCCTTTCATTTTCTCAAAGACGGTTTAAAGCTCCACATTGTGTACATCATATTTGAAGTAATACAAAAAGAAAAAAAATTGACAAAATTTTAAGTGGGAATTTTAAAAGCCAAATAGAACAAAGCGTGAACAAAAATGTCCAGCAATGCCTAGATTCATTCTGCCAGCTTTAGGTGCCAGTTGTAACCGAATCCCAGTTGCCTGGGATTATGAAGAAACAGAGTTCCCGCCGTCGGCCTGTTGGTGTGCCCAAGGGGAGTTGCTCTTGCAGGCGCCTGCTCACCGGGTGGGATGCTGGGCAACGAGCTTCCTAACGTCAGCTCATATTTTCATTAGGGCCCATTCAAATCCAAGTCATTATTTATTGAAATAGTTAATTCTAGAGTTCCCGAGGAGAGAAACCATTTCGAACTTTAATAGCACATAGACCATAGTTGAAGAAACATTAGCAAACACAAGAGCAGCGCGAGGCATGGCTAAGCGGAGGTTTCAGGACTGAAATTTCTTACGTTTCATTAAAATTAGAAAAATAAGACAAAGACGAGAACAGAATGTGACTCATTCCCTATATGCCACTAAAAAGGTATTCTTAGAAACCAACAACAACAAAAGAAACCCCCCCCCCAAAAAAAAACCCAACGGGAAACAAACCCCAGAGGGCACGAAGCGCGCCGCCTCTCAGGGGC